TGTTTCCGGGGGGGGGGGGGAGGGGCGGGCAGAACCAAGGACTCAGAAGGTACTACGTGCCCACAACACATTTCTCAGCTTAAAATCTCAATTCCTTACAAGCATTCCGGCCACACTGGAAAGACCGTGGGCTGATAGGTCAACTGGGTAGCAGACCCCTGGCACCGGCTCTGTGAGGGGGAACGTGTCTGGGGTCTTCACTAAGAATTCAAAGATCATTTTCTGACTCCCTGGATCCAGCCCACGGTCACACCAGGGTTTCTGTCGGTAAAGGCAGGAACACTGGGGCTGGCAGGCGGCATAGTGGTTTAGGATGCTGGGCTCCCACACGGCCGACCACGATTCGAGTACACGACCTGGAGGCTTGCTCTTGCACCTTCCCTTTTCTCTCTTTGTATATCTATGGTCAAATTTCAAATAATGATAATAACAAATAAAACAAAATAAAAAAACCTTTAGGAAAACCAAAACGAAACAAAAAAAAGACAAGGCTGGCTCTGTGGTGCGGTTACCGTGCCACCCAGAGAAGCCAGACCCCACGTGGCCCAGTCAACCCGACACGCACAACGTGCACGTGAGTGCCCAAAGTCCTGTGAGCTGGGAGCCTGGAGGACGGAACTGTGACGTGCCCAAACCCTGGGGAGGGTGCTCCTCTCTCTCCCTCTCTCTCTCTGGGGCCAGCAGGTGGCGTGGTAAAGATGTCAGACTCCCACATGTTTGACTACGGTTTAAATTCTGGACCCAGTGGCTTGCTTTCTCACCTTCTCTCTCTTGTTCTCTGCCCCTGGTGAGCACATGTACCCTACAGCAAACTAAAAAATAATAAATTAAAATTTTTTAAAGAATTATTTAACTTTATTTATTTATCAGATAGGTACAGAGTGAGAGAGAGGGAAAGTGAGAAAGCAAGCCACCAGGTCTGGGACTCAAATTGCGGTTGGCCATGTGGGAGTTGAGCGCCCTTAACCACCATGCCACCTACCGGCCCCAATAAATAAAATTTTAAAATTAAAAAAAAAATAGACAGATTGCTAAGAGATACCTTTCCTCAAAAGAAAAACAAAAAATACTTTAGTGGGAATAAGGATGGAGGAGTTAGTCAAAGGTGGGAGAAGAGGCATGTGACTCTCCAGTTAGTCCTGCAGGTGCTGGCCTTCAGTGACAACCTCTTACCTTCCCAAAGCCAAAGCTGTAGACATTTTGGGCAGAAATCACTCCAGCTTTCAGTAGTCGGTTAGGAGAGCCATTGGGGTTTCTAGAAATATTTAAAAGGAGAAAAAAACAAAACAAAACAAAAAAAGAATTAACCACCCATATCTAAAAGAACAATGCCGAACTTGAAGTTTTCAGAACGCATAGTCAGTTTTGTCTTTACTACTTGTCTCTGTCTCGGGTCACTACAGACGACACGCAGACGATGTCACAGGTCCAAGAGGGCTGTTAACTCAGTGGGAGACTGCAGGAATGATGGTGTGTCAGGGGCCAGCAGGTGGCATGGTGGTTAAGGGCGCTGGACTCCCACATGGCCAAGCATGGTTTGAGTCCCAGACCTGACGGCTCACTCGCTCACTCTCTCTCTCTCTCTTTCTCTCTCTCTCTGTCCCTCTCTGGTCAAACTAAAAATAAGTAAATAAATAAATAAAGTTCGATAAAATAATTTAAAAAAAGGAAATGACGGTGTGTCACTTCCAAGGCTACCTTGAGCCACCACCAGGGCTTCGCCTCTGACTTCTCTTGGATCGCACGCTCTGGAGGAAGCCAGCTGCTGTGTCGTTGGACACTCAAGCAGCCTGATGGAAAGACTGTTCTCTAATGGTGACAAGACAACTGCAGTTCAGACCGTCACTTCTTGTTCTCCTACCTACATTTCTCATCCCTGTCTATGTAACGAAACTTGACCAGCGTGAAAGGAGAAAAAACTGACTCCACTTATACGCAATCATACGACCATGTCATCTTCGTTCAATGTTTTTATTTCCTTCCCCCATCCAGACTATGAAAACACACACCTGTGAGGAATCTTATCGGATGTGGCACCACTCGAGATCTGAGAAGCCAATTCTTACTTAAAAGAATTTGTGTGATTTCTTTACATTTAAAAAAAAGGGGAGGACAGGACCAGCAGTTAGCGTAATGGCTATGTCGCTGGACTCCCATGTGGTCAACTGCGTCAAGTCCTGGACCTGACGGCTTAAAACTCAGACCAGGTGCATGTGCGTGTGTGCCCAAGGTCCCAAGAGGAGAATGGAGGAGAAGGGACTGCAGTGGCCATCTCTCCTGGGGGGAAGGTGATTTCTTGCTTTCTGTCTCTCTCTTTCTATCTCTCCAACGAGCACACTTAAAACAAAACTCTCTCCTAAGTAAATAAATAAATGCACATATACAGAAAAACACGTAAGTATCTTTGTGCTGTCATAACAGAATATCTGAGGCTGGGTGACTTATAAAGAAAAGAGGCTTATTTGGCTTAGGATTCTAGTGGCTAAAAAGTCAGAGGCGAGGGGCCAGCACATGCTGACCTCTGGTGCCACATCACAGTGTGGCCAAAAGGGCAGCTGGCTGGTACGGGAGAGATGTCTAGGAACCCAACTGCCTTTCTTCTGCCATCGGGCATGTGCATTTGCCAGAGAAACAGAGAGGAAGAGGGAAAGTACCCTAGTGGAGCCTGGTGGTGTCACAACCTTCTCTATTTCTCCCTCCTCTGAAGATTCTGGGCACACACATGTGCCCAGCACACCTCTCAAGCTACCAGGCCCAGGATGGGCCTGTGGGGTCCAGCCACCCTAACCACCAAGCTACCGTGCCAGCTGCAGCACCAGCACCCAGCTGCTCCCAGGAGCCCACCGTGAGAACGCCTCCATTCCCCAGACTTCATCCCCAACACCGCCCACGGGGAACGCCTCCTGATGGTGCCTCACCAGGTGTCAAGTGACAGCTAAGTTCTGGGGCGACACTCAAATCATATCGGACACTAAATCTAGGTGAGTAACTGAAATCTAAAGGTTTATCAGCACGGGCCAGCTGGTGGCATAGTGGTTAAGATGGTTGGATCCCAAATGACTGTGGTTCGAGTCCCGGACCCGGCAGCCTGAGAAACACACCAAATGTATGTATATCTATGCCAGAAATCCCAAAAGGAGGGTAAAATGGAGACCAGATTGCAGTGAAGCCATTTCTGAATGTCAGTCGGGATGCTAAGGAATGAACCAGGATGGCAAGAGCAGAAGCAGAGCAGTTGGGGCGATCATCCTCAAGGGGACAATTAACTCGTCTCGCCCGAGAAGCCAGCCACAGCTCTGTCATCACAGGGAAACCAAGACAAGATGAGGGTGCCTGTAAGGGTGTGACAAGTACAGACAGCATCAGAGAAAATCAAAATGAAAAAGATTCTCTCCAAAAAAGCCTATTTTCTACAGTGGGGCCAGCAGGTGGTGTGGTGGTTAAGGTGCTGGACTCGCATGGCTGAATGTGGTTCAAGTCCTGGGACAGGCAGCTTGGTTTCTCACTTTCCCTTTCTCTCTCTATGTGTCTCTCTGGTCAAATTAAAATAATAATAACAAATGGAATTAAATAAATATTTTTTTTTAAAAATCGTGAGTCCAGACAGTCAAAACTTAAAAGTGACCCATCAGGATGAGCGTATCCCTGAGCATGGAGTGAAGCCCGGGGCCACCTGCTGCCACTGGGACAGGGGTTAGAGGGGACCGGCTGCCCCGCTAGCAGTGCACTTCTTACACTAGCGTACAACAGCCCGAGACACCGTACATTATGTCACCTGTGGCCTGCCACGGCCTTAGCAACAGCAGAGCACTCCTTCCACCAGCTGCCCTGTCGGGTAGAGGTTTTCTACTGGTTTTCAGCTCTAAGATAAATGCAACCCACACTCACTGCCTCAGCCTTCTAGGGAGAAGGGGACAAGGGGCAAAGGTGGTCCTCTGGCCCCCTGATATCTGTCAGTGGCCACATCTTCTCTCTCCAACTCCCCCTGTGGGTGGGCACTGCAGGGATCCCACAGGAAGGCTGTTGACACAGAACTTCTTACTCTGTTCAAAGCAGTACTCACCCCTGAATGAGGCCCCCAAATCTGGGCGGGCTGCAGATGAGCCACTGAGGGGAATCGATCTTCTTCAGGAGGTCGTGTGAGAGGCCCTGGATGACGGCCTGCATGTGGGAGGCGCAGCGCTGCATGAATTCCACCACCTGCAACGCAGCACAGAGACGCTGAGCACTGGCCACGCTGGCCTCCGATGGGCACGGAGGCGCAGGGTGACGAATGGTCTGAGGAGAGAACCCAGACACGGACATCTCTGGAATGGGAAGGGCCCAGGTGACTTTCCATGGAGGTGTTTTTAGGGAGTGGAGCTGGTGACAACTTCCTGCAACTCCCTCCTTCAGCAGACAAGGAAACCGAGGTAAAGGAGAGGAAAACGACTTGTTCACGGCCCCACAGCTGTTGAGCAGAGCCAGGGGGAAGGACACTACAGCTGCAGGGGCCGGGCACCGGGCAGGCTGGGTTTCACACTCCTGCTACTGAGCCGCCATGAAGACACAGCACACCTGCCAGTGTGTGGCCTCAAGTGAGTGTCAATAGGCCTCCGTCTCCCCATCTGTAAAATGGAGGCAATAATAGTTCCTACCTGAAAGGCTGTGGTGAAGATTAAGTGAATTGGTACTGCATATAAAAAATACTTAAAACACCTGATTCTTGGTGCTAGCTAAATGGGTCAGAAAATGGCAGCTGTTGTCCTGCCCCACAGAATGGATGACTAGCGGTGCCCAAGGTTCCACCTGGGCCTGCGTGTCCAGTGCCAATGCTGAGGCCGCTGCCAGCCCTGTGCTGCCCTGGGATCCTGACCCAGCCCAGTGCTTCCCCCCCCCACCCCCCCGCATGGCTGCAGAGCAGGGCCCGCCCTCACCGGGCTACTGCGCTCCTTCCCTGCTGCCACGGCCCAGGCCTGCGGGTTCCGACCCTTCTCGTCATGGAGTCGTAGGTCACCCCCTGCATCCAGCAGCTTACTGAGGATCCACTGATTGCCAGAAAACGCTGCTGCGTGGACAGGGGTACTCCCATCAAAGCAGCGGCTGGGGAGGGGAAGAGCTGGGTGAGTGTCCATGGCAACGCTCCCACGTGCTAACACAGGGCTCCCGCTCCCAGGGCTGTAATGACCTCATCAGTGAGGCCCTGGTCTCCGTGACCTAGAGCTTCACACCCTTTTCCACCCCTATCTCCACACTCCAAGGCACTGCCATTTCCTGGTGATTCCGATGAGGAAAGCAAGGGTTCACACCATTAGGGTCTGGTTCCAAATCCAGTGGTTTTATTTTTTTTAGAATTGTTTATTTAATCTTTTTTTTTTTTTTTTGAGAGGTTTTCGCTATAGGGCGTGTGCACTCGCCAGACAGACAGAGAGAGACATAGAGACAGAAAGCGAGAAATCACCCCCCAGAGGGGATGGTCACACCGCAATCCCTCCTCCTCCATTCTCCTCTCGGGATCTTGGGCACGCACGCACACGCGCCCGGCATGAGTTTAAGCCACTGGGTCCGGGACTAGAACCACAGTTGACTACATGGGAATCCAGCAACATAGCCATGACACCAACTACTGGTCCCTTATCTAATCTTATTATTATCATTATTTTTTTTTTTAGAGAGAGATTTTTGTTATAGGGCGCGTGAGCTCACCAGAGACAGAAAGTGAGAAATCACCCTTGGGGGTATGGCCACACTACACTCCCTTTTCCTCCATTCTCCTCTCAAGATTTTGGGGGGAACCAGCAGTTAGCATAATGGCTATGTCGCTGGACTCCCACGTAGTTGACTGTGATTTGCATCCCGGACCCGGTGGCTTAGAACTCACGCCGGGCGCGTGTGCATGCGTGCCCAAGATCCCGAGAGGAGAATGGAGGAGAAGGGATTGCGGCGTGACCATCCCCTCTGGGGGGTGATTTCTCGCTTTCTGTCTCTCTGTTTCTCTCTGTCTGTCTGGCGAACGCACGCGCCCTATAGCGAAAAAACCTCTTCATAAACACATGCACACGTGCCTGGCATGAATTTATTTTTATTTTATTTTATTTTGGGCTGGCAGATGGCATGGTGGTTGGGGGCACTAGACTCCCACATGGCCAACCCTGGTTCAAATACTGAACCTGGTAGTTGCTTTCTCACCTTCCCCCCCCCCCCCCATCCCTCCTCTCTGGTCAAGTTAAAATAAATAAATAAATAAATAAAGTTAAGTAGAATTTCTTTTTTAAAAAAAGAATTACTTTAACTTTATCATTATTATTATTTTCTTTTTGGAGAGGTTTTCTTCGCTATAGGGCATGTGCGCTCGCCAGACAGAGACAGACAGAGACAGAAAGCGAGAAATCACCACCCAGGGGGGGATGGTCACGCCGCCATCCCTTCTCCTCCATTATCCTCTTGGCACGCACGCACACGTGCCCGGCGTGAGTTTTAAGCCACTGCGGGTCCAGGACGCGAACCGCAATCGACTACATGGGAGTCCAGCGACATAGCCATTACACTAACTGCTGGTTCCCTATCATTATTATTTTAATATTTCTAGAGAGAGACACAGAAAGAGAGAAAGTGAGAAAGCAAGTCTCCAGGTCTGGGACTCAAACCACAGTCAGCCATGTGGGAGTCCAGCATCCTTAACTACCATGCCACCTGCTGGCCTGAGTTTTAAGCCACTGGGTCGAGGACTCGAACTGTGGTAAACTACGTGGGAGTCCAGTAACATAACCATTACATCATCTGATGGTCCCATTATTATTACTTTTTAAATTTGCTATAGTCACCAGAGAAAGAGAAAGGGACAGTGAGAGCTTCCCACACACCGTTTGGCAGCAAGCTGCCAGGTCCAGGATGCGAACCACAGTTGGCCATGTGGGAGTCAAGCACCCTAACCACCAAACCACCTGCTGGCCCCAAATCTGGTGTTTTCTCTCCCACCAGCACCCCCCTCTGATACTGGCTACCCTGAAACAATTTCTTCACACCTGCAGTGTTCTAGGGTCAGGCTCGTCCAGCACAGCCTACCCAGGGACCCTCTCTCCTATGAGAACGCCTCTGCACTCAAAGCCTGTGGCAGAGGCCCACAAACTTGGCATCAGCAACGCAGTCAAGGATCTACACTTGCAAAATATTTCAAAGGCTGGATGGTAGTGCGCCAGTAACGCAAGGGACCCACATGGGAAAGCCCCACATCTGGATCTCCCCCCACCACGTCTGTGAGCAGGCTGGGGATGAACCATAGCCTAGGGACCCTGATAAGAGTGCGCTCGTGCGCATGCATGTATATGTATATATGTGTGTGTTTTATAAAAGAAATAAATGTTTAGGGACCAGTAGATGGAGTAATGGCTATGTCGCTGGACTCCCATGTAGTCAACCGCGGTTCGCGTCCTGGACCCGGTGGCTTAAAACTCACGCCAGGCGCGTGTGCGTGTGTGTCCAAGATCCCAAGAGGAGAATGGAGGAGAAGGGATTGTGGCGTGACCATCCCCCCTGGGGGGTGATTTCTTGCTTTCAGTCTCTCTGTCTCTCTCTATCTTCTGGCGAGCACACACATCCTATAGCAAAAACCTCTCCAAAAAAATAAAAGAATAAATTTTTTTTTAAAATTTTATTTTTGAAGAGAAAAGAAAGTTTGCACTGAAGCACACTGTCTGAGGCCTGAAGGGTGCCCTTCCTCGTGTCCAGGACGCAGTGAGGACGTGGTGTATGGCTGTGGTCTCCTGACGGGGACATGGCAGAGTCACCTGGTGAGCTTCCTCCCTTCAATAGAAAGAGAAACACAAATGGAAGGGAAAAGAGGAAAAAGGAGGAGAAGAAGAAAAGAAAAAGGAGGGACCAGCAGAGGTGCTGTGCTGGTTGAGGCGCTGGACTCTCACGTGGCCAACCATGGTTTGAGTTCCTGATGTAGATGCTTGCTTTCTTGTTCTCTCTTTCTATCTCTGGTGAGGTCACATGTCCTGTAACAAATTAAGTAATAACAACAAAAACAAACTTGAATAATTCTTTTTTTTTTTTTTTTGCTATAGGGTACGTGCGCTCACCAGACAGACAGAAAGAGACAGAGAGACAGAAAGCGAGAAATCACCCCCCCGGGGGATGGTCACTCCGCAATCCCTTCTCTTCCATTCTCCTCTTGGGATCTTGGGCATGCACACACGTGCACCTGGCGTGAGTTTAAGCCACCGGGTCCGGGATGCGAACCGCGGCCGACTACATGGGAGTCCAGTGACATAGCCATTACGCCAATTGCTGGTCCCCAAACTTGAATAATTCTAAAAGAAAAAAAAATAAAGAAGTATTTAACTTTATTTTTTGTTTATTTAAATTTGACCAGAGAGTGACAGGGTAAGAGAGGGAAAGTGAGAAAGCACGCTGCCAGGTCCAGGATTTGAACTGCAGTCTGCCACATGGGAGTACAACGCTTTTAACCACCACGCCACCTGCTGGCCCCCTAAAAAGAAATTTAAGAAAATAAGATGGAGATTTCCAGCTCTTGGAAATGTGGAAGAGCAAGACTTCTGGCTCCCTTTCCTACCCAGCAGCAATAAATGCCTAAGCATCTTCACCAGAGCCTGATCTGGCAACCCCACTCCACGCAGCAAGCGCCTGGCTTTGTAAACCTGACAGGCCCAGGCGATCACAACACTTCCACTGGGTGTTCGGAAATAAAGCCTTGGGGGGCCAGCAGTTGGCGTAATGGCTATGTCGCTGGACTCCCACGTAGTCAACTGCGTGCGGTTTGCATCCCGGACCCAGTGGCTTAAACTGACGCCAGATGGAGGAGAAGGGATTGCGGCATGGCCATCGCCCCTGGGGGGTGATTTCTCGCTTTCTGTCTCTCTGTCTCCGTTGTCTAGCGAGCACACACGCCCTATAGCGAAAAACTCTCCAAAAAAAAAGAAAAAAAAAAAAAGAAATAGAGCGTTGAGGAGATGGTGTGGAGGTTAAGGCGGCTGGATCCCACATAGTCAACTGAGCCATTTGAGTCTTGGACCCAGCAGCTTGAAAAATAAGGCAGGTGCAGGACCAGCAGATGGTGTAATGGTTATGTTGCTGGACTACCACACAGTCGACTGCAGTTTGAGTCCTGGACCCAGCAGGTTAAAACTCACTCTGGGTGTGTGTGTGTGCATGCCTAAAATCCTGAGAGAAGGGAAAAGACTGTGGTGAAGCCATCCCCCAGGGGGTGATTTCTCACTTTCTGTCTCTCTGTCGAGTACACGTACTTCATAGCAAAAATCTCTCAAAAAAAGAAAAAGAAGCTGGGTGTATGTAAACACGTGTATTCATGTCCAAATCTCCAGCCCCCGTGGATGGCCACTCCATAATCCCTGGTCCTCCACTCTCCCCCTGGGATCTTGGGCACGTATGCACATGTACCCAGTGTGACTGTCGAGCCACTGGGTCCAGACTAGAACCACGGTCGACTATGTGGGAGTCCAGCGACATAGCCATTACGCTAACTGCTGGTTCCCCCAAGCTAGCCCTTTCTAAACTGTGAAATTAAATATTACTACAGAAGAGACAAACTATAGCATATGTGAGCCTAGAAAAATTCTGGAAAGAAATATAAAATGATCATTGTGTTGGGGCCAGCAAGTGGCGTGGTGGTTAAGGCATGTTCTCTCTCTCTGGTGAGTGTGTATGTCCTATAGCAAATTTAAAAAATAATAATAAATAAAATTAAATAAATACATCTTTTAAAAAGCATTGATTGCATTATTAACTCTGAGTTACAGAATTCTCATACTGGGAACCAGCAGTTAGCGTAATAGCTATGTCGCTGGACTCCCACATAGTCGACTGCGGTTCACGTCCCAGACCTGATGGCTTAAAACTCACGCCGGGCGCATGTGCGTGCATGCCCAAGATCCCGAGAGGAGAAGAGATTGCGGCATGGCCATCCCCCCTGGGGGGTGATTTCTCACTTTCTGTCTGTCTCTCTGTCTGACGAGCGCACGCGCCCTATAGCAAAAACCTCTCCAAAAAAAAAAAAAGAATTCTCATACTGATTGGCTTTTTTTCCTTATACTTTTTTTTCTTTTTGGAGAGGTTTTTGCTACAGGGCGCATGTGCTCGCTGGAAAGACAGAGAGAGACAGAGAGACAAAAAGTGAGAAATCACCCTCCAGAGGCGATGGCCATGCCGCCATTCCTTCTCCTCCATTCTCCTATCAGAATCTTAGGCACACACAAGAGTCCAACGACACAGCCATGACGTCAACTGCTGGTCCTCTAGGGACTCCCATGTAGCCGACTGCGGTTTGAGTCCCAGACCCAGTGACTTAAACTCACGCGGGGCGTAAGTGCCCGAGACCCTGAGAGGAGAATGGAGCAGAAGGGATTGTGGCGTGGCCATCCCCCCTGGGGGGTGATTTCTCGATCTTTCTGGCGAGCACATGTGCCCTATAGCAAAAGCCTCTCCATGAAAAGAAAAAAAGAAAAATGTTAGCAGCAGCTAGATCTGTGTATACAATATACACATACAACTGTATTTCATTTCTGTAAACTAGCAAAGCTTCTTTCCCAATATTCTGTCAAATTAGTTTCCAAATGCCCCAATCCATCTAAACAGCACACTGCTTTCAGTAAAGGCTACTGTACTTACTGATTTGGATCTGATCCATAATCCACCAGAACATCAACTAATTTCTTAAGGCCCAATAATGCTGCAACAAAAAGTGCTGTCTGGCCACAGGAGTTCACGGCATCAACATAAATTCCTGTGGAGCAAATACCACAATCAATGCAAATACCAGTAATTTACCTGAGATTAAACTAAGAACTTTACAATGGGTAATTTTTCTAGAAGGTGTTTCTGCTTGTCTGAGAGAGACAGAAAGTGTGAAAGTACCCCCCCCCCACCCCGGGTGATGGTCACACTGCAATCCATTCTCCTGTCTGGACTCACACACGATTAGAGTCTGGAGTGTTTTATTTTATTTTTTAAGAATTATTTATTTAGGGACCAGCAGTTAGTGTAATGGCTATGTCGCTGGACTCCCATGTAGTCAACTGTGGTTCGCGTCCCGGACCCGGTGGCTTAAAACTCACGCCGGGTGCGTGTGCGTGCATGCCCAAGATCCCGAGAGGAGAATGGAGGAGAAGGGATTGTGGCGTGGCCATCCCCCCTGGGGGGTGATTTCTCACTTTCTGTCTCTCTGTCTCTCTCTGTCTGTCTGGCAAGCGCACACACCCTATAGCAAAAACCTCTCCAAAAAAAAAAAAGAATTATTTATTTAAGGACCAGGAGTTGGCATAATGGCTATGTCACTGGACTCCCATGTAGTTGACCGCAGTTTGAGTCCTGGACCCGGTGGTTAAAAATCATGCCAGGCACTTGTGCATGAGTGCCCAACACCCCAAGGGAGAACAGAGGAGAAGGGATTGCGGGATGGCCATACCCCTGGGTGGTGACTTCTCGCTTTCTGTCTCTCCCTGTATTGCTGGCGAACGCATGCACCCTATAGCAAAAATCTCTCCAAAAAAATTTATTTAATTTTATTTATATTATGTAATTCGTAGCAAGATATGTGTACTCACCAGAGAGAGAGAGAAAGTGAGAAAGCAAGCCGCCAGGTTCAGGGTTCAGGACTCAAACCTTAGTCAAATGTGTGGGAATCCAGTGCCTTAACCACCACACCACCTGCTGACCCCAGGTCTGGCATGTTCCTCCCCCACAAAGAAGTATTTATTTAATTCTATTTGTTGTTATTATTTTTTAATTTGTCCAAACAGAAAGAGAGAGGAAGGGAAAGCAAGAAAGCAAGCCGCCAGGTCTGGGGCTCGAACCGCATCAGCCATGTGGGAATCCAGCACCTTTAACCACCATGCCACCTGCCAGCCCCTGGCATGTTTTGTTTTGATCTTATTTTCTCGCCATCTTTTTTTTTAATTTATTTAAACACTGTTCTCAAAGCATTTGAATGAAACTGGGCATCCTTTGCTAAGCAAAGAACATGAAAATAATATTTAAAAAATGAACAGACAAAAGTCTTCAGTTCATTGAAGACACAGGTGTGGTGTTCCCTCTCTATATAGAACTTTGAAGCACCCAGTTTTTTCATAGTCTAAAAGCCAGAAGAACAAGAATACATCCATAGTGGAATGTATTTTCAGTTGCCAATAACTAGTTGAAATACCATTATCTCCCTGTAACAACTTTAAGAAATAGCCTCTTTAAGAAAACACTGTGTAATTCTCTTTTTATTCCCTGCCATATATAATACAGATTACATAAAAGCTGGCAAATCCGTATTTTTATAAAGCATTAAGCATTTGCTTCATTGAAAGATTTTTAGTTCTAACCCTAGCAGTGAAGAGTTACAGAGCATAATTTTTTAGCACTCAGTTGTGGGTATATTTAGTATGGTATATGTTTCATGGGCTGGAGGAAAAAGGGCATTTTTGTCTTTAAATTTACTACTGACAACTTAATCTGAACAGTTCTGCTAAGCATTGATATGTTAGAAAGGAAAGTAAAAATCAAACTGTTTATTGTTGCTTTTTGCCATTTGGTAGCATTTTACACACAGGCTTCGATCTTCAGAATACCCTGGATTCAGTAGAAAAACCGTTTAAAGGAAGTTTTGTATAATAGAAACTTCTCAGCAGTCAAAATTTAGACTGTAAAAAAATACATGCAAAACATACTTTTCTGAAAACACTTAACTTTGAACAAAGCACCAAACTACACAAATGCAGAATGAAAACAGCATTTCAACTCCACCAAAAGTAGTCATCATAAAAGGTGTAGAAGTCACCTAACGTCACTAGGCACTGCTCACTTTTTAAACAGGAGACAAGAAAAAATATTGTCCACAAACAATATCTCAGCTCTAGGGCAGGTTTCAGAAAGTCTCCAACTTCATGCTTTAATAGCGATGAGGAGCGTAAGATCTTGATCTGGAATGAGATCTGTATCCCCCACAACTGTAGTAAGGAGAAGGTGACCGCCTTCTGTAAATCCGATTCCTGTCTTGAGCAGCTCTCCATCCTCCTCCTCCTCCACCACCTCCTCTGTATGATCTGCTATAGCAGTCCCGGTCATCATAGCCTCCATCACATCCTCTGTCATAATAATCCCAACGGTGTGAGCTGCCATAGGTAGGTCTCACCAAGTAAATTCAATTAGCAATAATCGCGCCTGGGATAAACCTCATTGGCTATGATACTGCCACTGCGCAAAGCTCCCCATGTAAATTCCTGGTGTTGGGGTATGTGGTCTTTTTGTTATAGAGAAATCAACTCTGATCCTACGCCCATCAAGCTCCTTTCCATTGGCATGCTCTTTAGCTTCCTTGGCATCATCTAAGTTTTCAAAATATACAAAGGCAAATCCTCTCCAACACCTAGACTGCTCACCATACACAATAGACACATCAGCAATGGGGCCCTATTTAGAGAATACTTCTCTTAGATCTCTTTCTGTGGTGTATAAGCTCAACCCAAATACTCCAAGACAACAGTTGGGTTCAGGATTTGCCCGGTTCCCAACATGGCGCCTGCGAGTAGATATGGGAGAGTGACTGACTGTGTCTCCTGCGATAATCTCGACTATAAGATCTGCTACGGGATCGCCTATGGGAGTGAGATCGTGACCGTGACCGAGTATAGTGCCTTCGAGAGCTTCTTCTGGATCTAGACCTGTAAAAAACAAAGGCTTCAAGGTTATGACTAAATAACTGACAATAGATGGCTTACAATTCTTTTACTACCCTATTTGTAGATTTCCCCGATCCGTGAGCACTTCCACTTCTGGAAGCAGAACGGGATTCCCGCTCGCCGTAGTTCTGCTCGCCGCTGTCGCTTATGACTTCCGGCTGCTGTCCCCGCTCCATGTGCTTCACTCGAAGCCGCCAACCTCTTCTGTCTTCGGTAAAGAGGCTCCACCGCAGCCTCGCAGGACTCCCTGGCATGTTTTTGAAGCAACTGAGCTAGGTCTCAAAACACACAGCCCACCATGTGGGAATCAGCCACCTTAATCATCATGCCATTGGCTTTCCACTCCCCAAAATTCATTTCTCTTTATTGTACTTTCACGTATGATTTCTGTAATTCTCTCTTTTTTTTAAGAATTATTTTATTTAACTTTATTTATTTATTTAAATTTGATCAAAGAGGGATAGAGTAAGAGAGAGAGAGGGAAAGTGAGAAAGCAAGCTGCCAGGTCCTGGACTTGAACCATGGGTGACCATGTGGGAATTCGGCACCCTTAACCACATCACCTACTGGCCCCTCTGCAATTCTTTTCTTCTTTTTGAGAGATTTTTGCTATAGAATGCATGCACTCATGGGAGAGACAGAGAGGCAGAAAATAAAACAAAATCACTCCCTGGGGAAATGGCCACACCACAATCTCTTCTCAATTCTCCTCTCAAAATTTTGGATACACAAACACACATGCCCAGCGTCAGTTTCAAGCTGCTGGATCAGGGACTCAAACTGTGGTAGATCATGTGAGAGGCCAGGGCCTTAACCACTATGCCACCAGCTGGCCGCATGCAATTTTTTAAAATAGGAAAAAGGGCAACCAGGTGGTATGGTGGCTAAGGTGTAGATCCCACATGGCCCACTCTGTAGTTCGAATCATGGACCAGAGGCTTGAAAAGCACATCAGGCCTGCCTATTGGACCAAAATCCAGAGAGAAGAATGGAAAAGAAGGGACTGAAGTGCAGCCATCCCCCATGGGAGTGATTTCTCACTTTCCATCTCTCATCAGTAAAACCATGTGCCCTATAGCAAAAAATCTTTTTTAAAAATAATTATTTAATTTTATTTATTCTTTTTTTTTTTTTTTTTAATTTGACCAGAGAGAGATACAGAGAGAAAGAGAAGAGGAAATTAAGAAGGCAAGCTACCACCAGGTCTGGGACTCAAACCATGGCTAGCCATGTGGGAATGTTCTAACGCCTTAACCACCACACCTGCTGGCCCCAGCAAAAAAATCTTAAAAAAAAAAACTCTGGTCAACTACATGGGAGTCCAGTGACGTAACCATTATGCCATCTGCTGGTCCCATCTTTTTCTTTTTTCCATCAGAATTTTTTTTTTTTTTTTTTGGTAGAGAGGTTTTTGCTAGGATGCACCAGAGAGACAGAAAGCAAGAGATCACTCCCTAGAGGGAATGGCCACACCGCAATCCTGTCTCCTTCATTCTCTTCTCAGGATTTGACAGGATTTCTTGAAATGCACACCTGGTGAGTATGCATGTGTATGCCCCAAAATCGCCAGAGAACCAAAGAGAAGGGGGTAGCTGACATTTTCTCTCTCCAGAGAGCACATGGGCACCCTGTTAAAAGAAATCAAAAAATTAACCTTTTTTTTTTTTTTTGGGGGGGGGAGGTTTTTTCGCTATAGGGCACGTGAATAGGGACAG